GTGATCAGTGGGGTCGCCTCCCTTCTTCATCACCCTGTCCACTGCCTCAGAGCGCACCAGTTCGGGGGTCTTAACCACCACCAGGGCAGTGGCAGTGGCAGTGACCCCCTTCTGGCGGCGGGTAAAGGCCAGCGCCTCCTGAGAGGCCCGCAGGGTCAGGTCGGAGGTCGCTGGCTGAAAGCAGACAATGGGCTGCATTTTCTAGAAAGACAAGAAATAAGATTTAAATCAGTCATCTGCTAATACACATGCACTGTTTACATCCTAACAGTCTATTACTGTACACAATAATACTGTGCCCATTCATTAACATACATTCAACATCAGGCGTCCTGTTTACACATTGAAACCATATTGACCCTTCAACTGTAACAGCATACCAAGGGTCTTAAGAAGTGAGCCAAGTTGTCTGATCACGTTTTTAAAGCGTTTCCAGCTCATCACAGCAGTGGCCAATGCTTAGCATGCTAATAGCATCTAAAGCACAGTTCAGCTTTAAATGTGGACTCCACACAGGAGCAGTACAACATCCTAGTTCTCAACAAGTAAACTCAGTATGGGAATATTATTTCAAACACATTTCACCGATCAGGAATGACTCTGAGGATTAACTTACACTAACGTTACATTGGCTGTTTCACTGCTAACTGATTACTGTCTAATATATAAGATACCTTTGGGCTGTAGCACTCTTACAAACAATAAAGTTGGTCTAACCTTATAATGTTAATACAATGATAATGACACTGAACGTGGCTGTGGGGTGGGCGGGTCATACTGCGAGCTGTCCAATCACAGCACAGCACCTAAATGAAACAGACCAATGGGAGCGGGTCAAGACAACCCCATTGGTCTGTTCCATGAAAAGAAATGAAAGCAGAGTTTTATTTATAGAACATTACCGGTAGAAAGGTGAGGAACCCGTTTGTATTGATTAGTGTCCGTTAGCTATCAATAAAGAGCAGATATTGAGTGTGACACAGTCAGAGCCTCCAACTGCTTCACTCAACTCAACTCTTATTGTGAAAAACAAAGCTCGATCAGGCTGAAAGCTGATCACGTGGTCGGTTTCAAAGGTTGCATCCTTCAAAGTAAAAGTCTGATCCTACGGGAATTGTTTTAATTCTTTAAACGAAAAGTGAAACGTAACGAGGACTGTCAACAACTTTAACAACAAACAAACAATATTAGGGAGAACATACTTTATATAACTGTGACTGCAGTCTGCCATATTACTGTTGTTTACTCTATATTTCTACGGGGGGCAGAATATATATATAAAGCCTTGTGTGCAACAAAGTGTGCAGTGTGTTATTGTGTGTGTGTGTGTGTGTGTGTGTGTGTGTGTGTGTGGGACTGTAATAGTCCAGTGAGGGTTTGGGGGCTGTTGGGGGGGTAGAAATGGTGTTGGGGTAAAGAACTGTGGGGGGATTCCTTATATTCCTAAATAAATTGGTATCAGTAAAAGAGTGAATTCCTGCTTGGGACTCACTGATTGTTGGATTCATTCAATAATAACTCAGATGCTGTAACAGCAGTTCAAAGATAGAACACATGTGCAGTGTGACGACCCATCCTCTCCACTAGGGGTCCTCCTCTTGTGTGCTGGCTCTTTTTTGTCTTTCAGGATCCTGGTCAGGGTGGACGGTGGTTCTGAGCCACACCTGGGTCCGCTGTGGGTTCATATAAAGCTCGCCACCGTCTCTCAGGGAGATCTCTCTTTCTCTTCCATCACGTTGTTCAGTTTTGGTTGCTCACATGCTCACATCACTGATTACTGACGTCCACGTTCTCTCATTATTGAGTTCATCTTTCATGTTGAAGAAGAAGCTGCAAAGGTTGAGAACCACTGGTCCACACTGACAGAGCTTCAGTCTCTGATCAACAGCCTCGTCCTGCATCAGAAAGCAATCAGCTGATAGATCAATAATCAGTGAATCTGTCAGAAAGAAGAATATTAAGTCTGATTGTTAAAATGATAAAAATACAGAATACAGACAGAGAATGGATCAATATATCAGGAAAACTCATCTCTGATCAATATTCACAGGAAATAATCAAACTTCCTGCAGTGATTGAGTTCACTGTTTGTGTTCATTGATCAGTTGATCAGCTGTTATTGATAGTGATCAATAGGTTGGGAACCAGTGGGTCATAATGTTATGGCTGATGGGTGTACAGTGTATATCAGATGAGCACAGAGAAACTTTAACTTTCAGCAGATCAATGTAGCACAGACGTCATTCTGAGCTGAAAACCTGTTTGACAATAAAGCTGACTGTGATTCTTACCTGCAGTTACTGTAACATTCCTGAGGGGGGCAGCAGAGAGCATTTATACATACAGTAACATGGCTATATGGAGCATGGGATTAAATGAGATCTGTTCTATGCTTTTGGTGTAACTGTGTAGAAACTGATGTTAGAGAGTGTTATTGATATTGTAAAGCTCCTTTTAATTTATGTTAGAGTTTATTTTATCAAGATTATGTGGTATATTAAGTAGCGATGATGTGAAGATGTATTGAAGAGAAGTCCGCTGACACCGTCTTGATTGTATATAAAAAGGTTTATTACAAAAAGATACAGCATCATTTCAAGCCCCGGGAGCTTGGAGAGCATCCTGCCAAATGAACAACTCTGTCTAATTCACCTTAAACACAGGTTTATATAGGTCAGTTTTACTCCAAAAGATCAAAAGAAACATTTAATTCCAATCCAAATATTTAAGACGATAAGGGGAGGTGAGGGTTATCAAGTAAAGGTCAGCTGCCCTTCAACCACAAATGGTAAAGGATTAAGCCATAAACAGTTGAGGCCAGAGGCTATTGTAAAGCCATAAACATTCTATAGTAAGAATTAGTCATTTAACCTCATGTACTACTAACACTACACATGTTGACATATATCATTTGAATTTATAACAGAATGTAATTTAAGTTTTTTTTTTTTTTTTTTTTATAAATATCCAAGAGGTTTTGTTGTTCCAGCAGGACTTCATGAAAAATTCCTGTTTTTTTACAGCAGCTTTCCTAAAAACCTTGGATGTTTGTTCTGATGTTTTTGCAATAAAACTGTGAGAGAAAGTGAGAAAATATTTCTTGTTTTATATAATTGATTAAAAATCAACTTGTTCCAGTTAGAAGAGAATCTCTATTAGTTTGGTGATTGTAGGGATCAATGTGTCGCATGAGGGACTGCTATGATCGGTGACACTCAGTGGAAACTCCACTGATTGGTCCAGGTTGTGGAGAGTTCACAGGGATTGGTTGAATTTGTGTTAAAGGCTGTGATTGTCTTTTACAGTCAGACTGCAGGTCACAGGTCTGATTTATTGGAGTGTGAATGTGAGTTGCTGCCAAGTTTGACGAGATCATATTCATAAAAACAACAGGGGAAAGTTCAAGTATTTTCCAAACCATACAATTAATGTTCTTCTTTTGAGGCAACAACACTAACTGAACACCACTCCCATCTGTATTTGACAAACTGGGAACAAGAAATTGAATTATTCAGAATGCAAGGCACAATAAATAGTGTTTCAAAGAAAGGTGGTAAACTTTATTGCTAATATTAAACAAAAATGTCAACACATCTGATATCATACTAGAGTATTTGCCACTGCTGCTCACAGGCTCAGCTTCTGGAAGAGTCCCAGCTACAAATGAGAACCTGAAGATACGACCCAAAACTGGTCATAACTGAATACTGTGAGACATCGGTTATATAAAATAATAATAATATTAAGTAAAGTAAAGACTGAAGATTTCTTGCAGCATTCACATAATTACTAATAAATAAGGTTAATATTAATAATATCACTATTGTTACTTTAATATGAATCAAATAGCAGTACTAACTTCTGACCTGTATCTAAAGCAATGACCTCTTCCCTTTATCTACAGCAAAGACCTCTGCCCTGTATCTACAGCGCTGACCTCTTTTCTGTCCTCTGTAACTTTGGTATTATTGTCAAATGGCTTCAATCAAATCTTTATTAACTGTCTGCATAAGACAATTAGTGTCAAATTATTGGCTGTTTACTAAAACTTAAAATCAATAAGAGAAGTAATAGTCTAAATGACACTAACAGGCTTCATATGTGAAAATTATTTTAAAAGAATTATGTGTCTAATGGCAAAAATGTACGAGTTATAGACATACCTACATCAATGAAAGCATAATTTTATGGATGATCCACGATGTTAAAGATACAGAAATAAATAGACCTATATATTATTATATAGTTGTCTGGATCAGCAGGACCAAGGTTTTAAAGATGTGTTATACAACAGTATGTTTAAAACTGGATGGAAAGGTTCCAGTGACTAATGAGCTGTTTATAATAGAGACAATGGAGTGACCCTCAGTGTCAACCACCTCTCTAAGGAAATATGTTGGGATTACATCTAGAACACAAGAAGAGCTCAAATTAATCCTGAACAGCTCCATGAGAGGCTCGTGGTACATTTTTAATATAGTCAGTAAATGACAGTTGTTTATCAGATCTCCACTCTCGCTGTGTTTCACCACACTGTCTGTTTAGAGTGCGCGTTAAGCAACACTTTTATAACATAAAGGCAGAATGAGGAGGATGTGTCAGTTGTGGTTTGTAAACACAAAATTCAAAGCTGCTTAGAACCGCAAAGATGAAGTAATATTGGAATAGATAATATAGCTATGGATTGATTCAGGAATTACTTTACTGAGCACACACAGTGTGTTTGTGCAGAGGGTCTTAAATGAGACTTTTTAGAGATTTCCACCCATAAAGTTCTAATTTTACCTCCAATACTATTTTCTGTATTTATAGCTATCAGTGATTATTGAAATATAATAGTGATAATGGTGATTTGAATCTTTTAATCTGCTACATTTTTTATATTTTAGTATTGTGTCACTGAAGGGAAAATGTATTATACATGAATTAAAATGGCTGCATTGAACATGTTTCCACCAACAAAGCTCACTCATGTTTTTTATGAGCTGTTCAGTTTGACAGGAAGAGTGAACACAGGAAGTGGTGAAGAGGTTGTTTCATTGTCTCTACTTTCTTTCACTTTGTACCTTGTGGCGTCAGAACATCAGAATAACTGCAACTCAACTAAAGGTAATTAAGACAAGTGCATCAGCTATCATAGATCAATAGGACTGATTATTAATTAGCATGAGGTTATGAACTGAAATCCTCAGGTGAATGTTTGTAGCTTATTATTATTATTATTATTATTATTACAGTATTCAGTAACTGAGATTGAAACAGCTTCTGTTCACTCACACTTTATATTTACAGACTGAAAGAAATACATGATGACATGATTACAGATCAATGATTGCAGATCAATGATCTGAGGTAAATGTGTCCATTGCTTCAAGTGTAGGAGGAGGAAATGAGTGCGGCAATAAACATAGGCAGTAGAATGATTGATGTATTTTCAGTCCAGATATTTGTGATATTTTATTAATCAGATTTAGTTGAGTGTGAGAATGCGACTCAGAAAGGTTATTATATCTTTAATCTGTAATATGAACTTCAGACGCCATTTTAGACTGCAGTGAAACCAGGAAGAGACGTTACAGAATCATACTGATCAAAGTCAGACTACTTTATTATGTTTAGAGGTAATACTGAAGTAACAGCCATATTAGATTATCTATATTTATTAATAATTATTGATATCTGTAGATCTCTATTGTTAGACCCAGAACTAATAATTACATATAATTACTGATAGAACCTGCATTACTTTAGATTACAGAGATTTCAGTCAGTGTTCCACTCAGGTGTTCACATTGCTGGCAGCTGGAAGGTTGCTGGTTTGAATCCCCACTGAGGTTGTGAAGCTGACAGTAAAGCCTGGTGGAGCTGCTCTTGCTCTGTACAAACATGTTGCTGTGTGATAAGTAAGATCATTCAACTGTAATTCTTCTTCCTTCAGCTTGTTAAAGCAGCAGTCGCTCTTCAGTTGAATCCGTCTGATGTTTCCAGCACAGTGACATCATGGAGGCTGCAGCAGCAGGTGAGTCCACTCAGTCTTTATACAAATATACAGAGACATTTATATTTACATCTCAACTCAGTTCAACTCAGAGTGTCATTTTAATGGAGCAGCAGGAAATAGAAGAGCTTCAGTTCACAATCACTGATACATTCATGTTTTTCCTTTATTAATATTTCTGCCTTTGAAGTAATCCTGAGACTGAATGAAACCACTGATCAATATCCTGAATACTCTTCCAATCATTATCTGATTTCACTAACAGACACTCTGATGTTAATTTCATCCAGTTTATGATCAATCTATCAATCATTATTTGTGTTTTATTGATTGTTCTTTAAGGGTGCAGAGCTCTCAGAGTCCCACTGGGTGGCGATAAAACATTAAAGTTTGGTAGAGTCACAATCCAGTGTGTTGTTAGAATGAACTTCCTCTACCAGTCACTGACTGTTGCCACCATTAACACTGTTTCTGTGGGAGCCCTAATGGACCTAATGAGCAGCTGGATTACACACAGAATGACATCAGACTTTAATAGCTATAAAGAACCAACTATAACCATGTATGACTGTCTGATAACATGACAAAGTATAGAAAGGGGAGGATTCCATCTGATATGACCTGATTATACTGATCTTACACAACTTGTCAGCTTCTTTACTGCCATGTGCACAACAACAGTGAAGCAGTCAGTGGTATATAATACTGATTTAAATCTGATAGTTCAATATCTGATACAACACTTGAGCCCAGTTAGTGTGGGTCAGCTTGGCCTAAGCACAACAAACAGAACGAGACTTAAAAAGGGGAGTTCACCAAAAAACAGAACTGATTGATTTTACAAATGATCTCACACATCTGAAGTTGAGCAAGTGATTGTTGTGCAGGTTCAGAAAACAGCCCGTAGAAAAGATCCAATCTGAGCATCACTGGTTGTTGATCATGAAGCAGACTCCTCCCTTGCTCCTTGCTCTGATTCAGTCAGTCTGCTGAGTCCAGGATCAAAGGGTCGAGCTGAGTCTCAGTGAAAACCATCACGTTACAGTTGTTAGAGTCCAGTTGAGAATCCATTTCCTCCTGAGTTCATCCAGCTTATCATCCACTGACTGAAGAATACTCTCTAGAGGAGTCCTGGTTAAATGTTTCCACAGGCTGACCAGGACCCTGGCCCAGGATCCTCTATTCTTTAGTCCTCTCTGTTTTCCAAGTACAGCAGATACAATCATAGATTACATCTGATCACATCAATAGTAACTGAATGCTGTTTCCTTCCAGTCACAGGTGATCTGCATCCTCTGAGGCGCAGTAGCAGCTATGATTTCCTACCACCTAACAGTGAGTCACTGAACTGTTATCCTGATGTTTAAGTTTACAGTATTTCATATCATCATAGCCCATTTAATACAACTCATGGATACTTTTCATCACAGCTAATAAAGAAACAGCTACTATGTTTAATAAACTTGTTTTTATGCTCATAATCTACAAAATGGTATTTCATAGGTAAAATCTGTAAGTAACTAAAGTCCTGAAGTTTGAAATTATAAATTAATAAATGTAAGTTTATCTTTTTATCCACGTTTTCTGAATCTCTGTGTTTCAGTGTCTGAGCTCAGGGTTGTTCTGCTGGGGAACAGCTGGTCTGAGAGGAGTTCAGTGGGGAACTTCATACTGGGAGAGACTGAGTTCACTGAGGAAGAACCAGACCAATGTCTGACAATCAGAGGACAGTTAAAGGAGAAAGAAATAGTTCTCATCAACACTCCAGATCTGCTGCATCCTGACATCTCTCAACACAAACTGACAGAACATGTGAAAGACTGTGTGAGACTCTCTGATCCTGGACCTCATGTGTTCCTGCTGGTTCTACAGCCTGAAGACTTCACTGAGGAACACAAACTGAGACTACAATCAATCCTTGAAAAGTTCAGTGATCGATCATTTGATCATTCACTGGTTCTGATATCAGCACCCAGAGAGAAGAGTTCAGCTTTAAAGAAGAAACACATGGAGCACCCTCCAGTAAAAGACCTGATCACAATGTGTAGATACAGACATTTGAAGCTGAAGAACCTTGAACGTTCAGAGCTGTTGACACGATTAGGTCAAACTGTAAAAGAGAACAATGGAGAATGTGTCAGCTGTGATGTGTTTGAGGAGGCAGCAGTTGCTTTATCCAGTGAACATCGAAGCTTAAAGCAACAGGAAACAACCTGTTCTGACTTGGATCCTGTTGGAGCTCCTGGTGAGGACAGAAAACTGTTTTAATGATGGGATCAATGTAAATATTCATTGATGAAGTTGAAAATTATTTCTGTTGATTTTATTTTTTCACAGAGAGGAAGTCTTACTTTGAAAGGACAACAAGCTATGTCAGCAACTGTAAGTACATTCATTAGAGGATCATCATGTACTGTAGAAGATCTATGAGATGTATTTGATGTCTGTAACTGATGTTTTTGTCTTTCACAGTGTTTAAACCAAAGTCATCAACAGTGGAAAGCACAATCAAACAAGGTCAGTAACTGATTCATACAACAAATATTAATCAGAATTATCAGCCTTTTAAAAAAACATTTCAAACTAGGGGTGTGACGATACACTCAGCTCACGAGAACGAGACAAGATTTTAAGAAAACTACAATGACAAAATATATGACTGGACCAACAGACTTTTATTTAAGCGAGTTGCACATGTATTTTGAAATGTTTTATTATAACTCTTTACATGCATGATGTAAGCATGAACTTTTAATAAACTTCTTCTTCCACAAACAGAGCCTGACCAAGTATGTCATTAACAACATGCTGCAACTACACAGCCATGTTCTTTTTTAAGAATATTAGCATGTCCACATTGTGTGGCAGCAGTTGGGATCTTTGCACATTGACTATGTCTCCTGCTCTTGTTATTGTTGTGGCTCTGGGGCTTGACTGTGGAAGTTGAGGTCCGAATGCGTTTGTCAGCGTTATCTGGCTTGTTAGCGTTTTCTTCACAGGTGCAGTTGTTGATTTCAGTACCGAGCTGTGGTGGTGCTGTATATGTCTCTGCATCATGCTCGTATTAGCCTCGGTGTACAGCATTATTTTCCTACAATGCTTGCGTATTGTCCGTGTCTTATCAGTCACTCTACTGCCATTTAAAAACTAGTCAACTAGTCTCAAATGACATTGTATAAAAATGTTATTATATATGGGACGAGCCGGTAGCTCACCTGGTTCACATACTAAGGTGAGTCCTTACTGCAACCGCCTGATACATGAAACAAACTTATACAGACAACATTATTAATATTATACAGAGATGAATGAAAGGGATGTAGATACAGTGATTATGTTAGATTATATTTATTCCATTACATAATTAATTCTTTATGTTTATGTTATATTGCAGCGTCTGCACTCAGAATTATACTGTTCGGGAAGAGAGAGGAAACAAAAGCAAAACTTGGTAACTTAATGCTCGGGGTCCAAAGTTCTCTATTCCAAAAACATCCTTCAGTGAAGCATTGTACTGCAGCCTGTGGAGAGTGGAGAGGAAAACAAATAACAATAGTGAAAACTCCAGATATCTTCAGTCTGAATGAGGAGACAATAAGACAAGAGGTGAGGAAGTGCATCAGTCTTTGCCTCCCTGGACCAAATGTTCTTCTGCTGTTAGTGAAACCTTCTAAGTTCACAGAGGAGAACAGACAAACACTGAAGTTCATCCTGAGTTTGTTCAGTCAAGATGCTTTTAAACACTCAATGGTCATCAGCACACAGAAGGAGAATAAAAGTGTCTCTGTGAATCAGCTCCTTACAGACTGTGGAGGAAGATACTACAGCATGTTGGAAGATAGCCCTAAAGTGTTAATGCAGAAGATTGAGAAGATTGTGCATGAAAACAAAGGGACCTTCCTCACCCTCACTGCAGAGACAATGAGACCAAAGTCTGAACCCATCAGAACATCCTTAAACCTGGTTCTGTGTGGGAGGAGAGGAGCAGGGAAGACTTCAGCAGCCGAGGCCATTTTAGGTCGCTCAGAGCTTCATTCAGAGTGTGTTAGACATCAGGGAGAGGTGTGCGGATATTGGGTTTCCCTGGTGGAGCTGCCTGCCTTGTATGGAAAACCTAAGGAGGCAGTGATGGAGGAATCACTCAGGAGTATCTCCCTCTGTGATCCTGAGGGTGTCCATGCCTTCATCCTGGTCCTACCTGTGGGTCCCCTCACTGATGAAGACAAGGGAGAGTTAGAGACCATCCAGAACACATTCAGCTCTCGAGTCAATGACTTCACCATCATTCTGTTCACTGTGGACTCAGATCCTACAGCTCCAGCTGTTGTTAACTTTGTGAAAGAAAACAGAGACATCCAGGAGCTCTGTCAGAGCTGTGGAGGAAGATATGTTGTTCTCAACATCAAGGACAAGCAGCAGATCCCAGAGCTGTTGGAAGCTGTGGACAAGATGAGAGTTGAAGGATCCAAATGCTTCACAAAGGACATGTTCACTAAAGCTCAGATGGAGAAGGTCACAAAACTTAAGGCTGAAGTGAGGGATCTGAAACAGAAGAGTCAGATGGGAATAGATGATGGAATTCAGAACAGAGAGTGTCTCAGGATGGTGCTGGTTGGGAAGACTGGCAGTGGGAAGAGTGCAACTGGAAACACCATTTTGGGCAAAGAACATTTTAAATCTACTGCCAGCACAAAGTCTGTCACCAAACACTGCCAGAAAGCAACAGGTCAGATTGATGGTCGGACTGTTGCTGTGGTCGACACTCCCGGCTTGTTTGACACAACTTTGTCCACTGATGATGTTCAACAGGAGCTTGTGAAATGCATCAGCTTGTTGTCTCCTGGACCTCATGTGTTCCTTCTGGTGCTGCAGATCGGTCGCTTTACAAAGGAGGAAAAAGAATCTGTGGAACTGATCAAGAAATATTTTGGCAAGAAGTCTCAAGATTTCATCATCATTATATTCACCAGAGGAGATGATCTCAGTCAAACAATTGAGGGTTATATAGAAGAGTGCGATGATGTTTTGCAAAAGCTGATACGTGACTGTGGAGGAAGATACCAGGTCTTCAATAACAAGAATAAGACAGACCGCACACAAGTCAGAGACTTACTGACAAAGTCCAAAGAAATGGTGAGGCACAATGGTGGCAGCTGCTTCACTTCAGAGATGTTCCAAGAGGCCGAAGCAGCGATACAGAAGGAAGTGGACAGGATCCTGAAGGAGAAAGAAGAAGAGATGCAGAGAGAGAAGGAAGAGCTTCAAAGAAAACATGAGGAGGAACTTGAGGCAGTGAAGAAAAGAATGGAACAACAGAAAGCAGAAAAAAGAAAGAAAAAAATAAAGTCTGAATCAGAAGAAAAGGAAACCATTGACCGACAGTTGGAGCAGAGCAGAGAAGAGATGAGAAAGCAACGAGAGAACTCGGAGAAAGAAAGAAAAGAATGGTGGGATAAACGATATCAAGAAGATGAACAGAGACGACAGGAGGAACAAAGAAGACTTAAAAAGCTGCAAGAAGAATACGAACAGGAGAGAGAAAACTATGAAAACAAAAGAAAAGAAGAGGATCGAATCAGAAGAGAAGAAGAGGAAAAGGAGAGAAAAGAACTGGAGAAAAACTATAAGAAAAAAACAGAAGAAATGAAGAAGAAATACGAAGAAGAAGCCAGAAAACAGGCTGAAGAATTCAATGAGTTCAAACAGAAATACACAGAGGACTTTGAAAAGTTGGTAGACAAACACATGGAGGAAATAAAGGAAATAAAGGAAGAACATGAGAAACAAATGAAAGAGATAGAAAAGAAACATGGCAAAGATTACGATCTGTTACAAAACCTCAAAACTCATAATGAAATTAAACTGAAAGAAGAGATTGATGAGTTGAAGAAGAAACAGCAACAAGAAACAGAAAATCTGAAATCCGAACACCAGAGCAGCTGTATCATTTTATGATCTCCACCAACTCCATTATTAGGACTGTAACATATGGAACGTCATTTAACAGCAGTTGGTTTATTTAAACTGAAGGTTTTAAGAATACTATCTTATAATATTTAGGGCTCTTCCTCTCCTCCTCCTCTCCACTCAGGTGGGAGGGACATGAGATGTGTTGTTGCTCTGCATACTGATGTTTCCTTTGTACAGTATTGTTTATTTGCAATCTAACTGTTTATATAGTTTTATAATAGTATCCACACACACACACACACACACACACACACACACACACACACACACACACACACACTGTAAAGCTACATCATGCTGTATATGTCCAACCTTCCTGAATACACACTTTAGGATTACAGACTCCATGTTTCCTGACTGACACCTGTTGAAGGAGCAGAACTTTATTCAATTGTTGTTCTCGTTCGTCTACGAATATTAAAAACAACGATAGAAAAACAAAACCACGAGCAGGATTCCTCCATCAGAACGAGTGCCGACAGGAACATTGTCAGGATCCGGTTTTATTCTGTGCTTACTTCTTATTATGTTTTATGATTCATTATTTTATTTGTACTCCTTTTTATGATGCATTGATCATTTTTACTCATTTATGTTTGTGTCCTGTGATGAGATGTGGGTCTCCAACAGGAAGCTAATAGGTTTTAACTGTTAGTATGAGAATGTCAATCTATATAATCATTTTTATCATTTTACTCGTTTACCTTGTTGATCATTTTTATTACTCCATTCATTGATCCTATTTTTATTCACATGCTTTATAATTGTCCTATTATTCATTTATGTTCTACCTATGTGGGCCTTATTCATCATTCTATTACTCAATGTAATCATCATTATTCTTGCTGTTACGTATCACATATTACTATGATTCAAAGAGTGTTGTTAGCCTAATAAGAACAAATAACTTACTTATAACTATTTTTGTGGTTGGGACCAGCTCCGTTCAGGTCTAAAATGGCTGACAGAGAGCAGCATTGGTGTGACCATAAAACTGAACCTTAAAAAGGAAACAAGCCTTTCTGGTGCAAAGCTGGTTTTTTATTTTCTTTTATTTTGAATCTGTAAAGCAAGACTGGTAATTGGGAAAATAAAAATGAGTTCAAACATAAAGAAGACCTCTCAGTTCCTTCTTTATTCTGAGGAAGACTCTGTGAGACCCTCCAAGCAGAGAAAGGTCAGCTCCAGAGCTTCCACACTTCAGGGCACATAACACACCTCATATGAGTGAGGACAGAGAGCCTTAGGAGAAGCAGAGACCTCCCCGGGTCGACCAGGTGTCAGTATAACTGTATGACTGATTATTTAGAACTGTCAGGGTTTCCTTTGGTTTAGGGGTATAAATCCTTGCAGGGATTACCAGAGACAGGACAGGTCACACAGGCCAGAGGTCCCCTGCCACATCCCCAATCCTCAGTGTTCATAAGTCAGCTTTAGTTCAGGGATGAAGCCAGTGGGCGAAGGTGGAGGTGCAGGGGTCCACGGTACCAACGGACAATGGGAACAGATAAACTAGTCGTATTAAGTTTTCCCTGAGGGCTACGGGCTCGGTACCTGAGTCCCAGTGATCTGTTTATTTCATAGAGAATCAAAACCACAAGAAGCCTGTGGACATAAAAACTGAACTACAACTCCCAGAATGCATTACACTGACAAACATCCAATCACAGAGCTTCCTCAGAGGTTTTCCTCTCCAGTCTTTACTGTAAGGTGACAGATTTCACGAAGAGAAACTGAAGAGTTGCTGAGGTCTGCTGTTGTCCCAGACACTGCACTCATGGTTGCTCTCCCTCTGTTACCCTACACTGTGTACTTACTGTCACTGGTAGCAGGAATATATTTCCTGTACAGTTTGGATCTTTCTATCTTTATTTATTTATATTTTTATAAGTATTTTATTTTTGTGTGATTTTTATGCACCAAGACAAATTCCTTGTACTGTAAAAACTATCTTGGCAATAAACCCGATTCTGGTTCTGATTCTGATTCTTAATGAGCAGAATCTGTTTTTAGTTGATTTCCTCCCACAGCCCGAAACATAAAGGAGAGTTTGTGTCTGATTGTTAAAGAAAACAACAGCTGACATGAAGGAATATAAATAATGTGTGTTATTAATGTGCATCAGACTGTTATATACAGCAGACTGTAATATACAGCAGACTGTCAATGTTCAGACTACAACAGGGCCCTCCTCCATACACTGCTCATAGGCTGACACCTGCTGGGGACTTTATGGAACTGCAGCTGACAGTTGGAGTGAAAATAAAATGCGTGTGTGTGTGTGTGTGTGTGTGTGTGTGTGTGTGTGTGTGTGTGTGTGTGTGTGTGTGTGTGGGAGGGGGAGGAGCTACATTTCTCGCCAATCCTCGCAGCCTGACGTAACGCCTAGTTCCCATCAGCCCCCTGTGCTCCTCAGCAGAGCGTCCGGGACACAGACGGGTTGATGTGGGCTCAGTTGGGTGTTGGTGGGTCAGTGTAGGTTCAGGACTCACTGGTTCCTGTTGTTGTCAGCACTCTGAGAGCCGTTTCTAAAGGGGGTCTGAGTGGCACCATGAGTCCGGACTCTCTCTGGACAGACCCCCTATAGATACCCCGCAGAGACAGGGTTCTGTTGTGTTACTCCGGTAGCACATATACTAAAATTAGAACAAAATAGAGAAGATTAGCATGGCCTCGCAATCTTCTCTTTTCTTCTCCGTCTCTGCGCATGCGCACTCAAGCGCAAAAGACGACCTAAGACGTGCGGTTAGCATGCAGAATGATATTCCTACCCGGAGGTAAAAAGGGGTTAAACAACAGTAGCTTGAGCCTGAAATATCAGGGTGAGATAACCACACCGCATCAATCACAGCATAGGCAGTGCGCACACAGAACAGCCTGGTTTAGAACAACAGTAGCACATCAGGGAGGAACAGACATGGCATACACAATTAGTTTTGTTTTTTTTAAACAGCACATCAATCACAGCATAGGCAGTGTAAGGTGTCAAAGCAGCACAGGTGTACACAATGCAGTGGGATGACAGTATGACACTGTGAGGGAAGAAGACAGATGCATGACAGTGTGATACAGGTGAGGCAACCAAGTCCCCGAAACTGTCCATGATCCCATCCTGAATGTGGACCGGTGTTGGTGAGAAGCCTCCACACCACGGCAAGGTCCCGGTCCTCGTGGAGGTCGAACAAAAGGAGGAGCACCATCAGCCTCTGCCAGCACTGCAAGAGGTCCTGGGACTGTGTGGCCCTGGAAAAAGGTCCTGCTGCAGCTGCTGTGGGAGGTGGTGCCGATGGCCAGGCCGGGGCCACAGCCGCCGCCACCGCTGCCGGCTGTGGCCTGATGTGTCTGTGCACCACCTCCTTAGCCGTGGGACGCTCCACCACCGCCACCGAGCCCGCCGCTGGCACCACTGCTGCCGCCACTGCCGAGCCCACCGCTGCTGCTGGTCCCGGTGCCAACACAATCCTCTCCTTTTCCCACTGGGTTTTCACGAACCTGAGAGCATAATGGAATGTCATTAAACACTCATTATTTACATTGTACATTTTATGCAAATGACTGACCAGAGCTTTGTCCATTTCACCTACCACTGGGAGAGGGTCCTCTGATTTAGCTCAAAGAGCTGAATCGACACCCGAGCCATCAGCCTCTGGTGGCCAAGCACCAAGTCGCTGATGTGGTGATAGTGCAGCAGTATGCAATCCCAGCGTGTCCTCCGGCTCCCGTACACTTTGGTGATGGAGGGATAGAGGTTACACAGCTGGGTGCATACTGCTTCCACCACACGACTGGCGCTCGGCCAGGTGGCAGGTCCAGAGGTCTGTCCGACCAGGCAGCTGCAAAAACAACATTGACCATAATGAACGTGATGGAGAAGTGACATTTCAAGATTAGGCTACATTTCCATATTACATTTTTTTTTCAAACTTTGCCTTACCGTTTCATGCTTTCCACAACAGCAATGCTGGTGTGCGATGATTTAGCTGCCTTGAAGCGCCCCTGAGCTGGCCTGTCCCTATGGCGAGGAGGGTAAATGACTCTGGCCCTGACGTACGGGGACAGGGCCTCATAGAGCTCGATGAGCTCATCGATCCTCCTCTCGGACAACACCTCTTCTGTCCACAACCCCACTGAGGCCGTGGCCAGCTTGACTCGGTTGTGACACCTGACGCAAGGCGCCGCATCAGGTGCCAGATGTCCAACCGGACCACCAGCTCGTCCCAGTCCGCAAACAGAGCAGCGACTGCCCCCGATCGGCCGTAGGAGGAACAACAGTCCCGGTCGACGTAGAGGAGCTGTGGTGGCTCTACCCCAGCGTCCCGGTACCGGTGGCCGTACACCGTCAAGAGCCTCCCGGGTTGAGGAACGGGTGGCATCGGTGGTGGTGGGGTGCACATACGCACGACACCCATCGACGTGAAGGGCTCCATGACGCTGAGGTAGTGCATGGACCAGCGCATCCAGGACTCGCTGTTGACCTCACACAGCTTCTTGTAGAGCTGTTCCCCCGAGTACGCTCACACAGCATGGAAATGACCCGCCGGTCGCAGGACAGCTGGTAAGTGAGGATAGCCGGGAACTGACAAATGTGTCCCGGCTCCAGCTGCTTCACAACCTCCTGCGACCATCCAGCCACCTTTCTTTGACACCGACGGCACTCCAGGTACTCGGTGACCATCAAGTACCAGCTGTCGATGTCCAAGACCCTCCGGATGGTCTTGTAGAGCCCAGCCTTGGTAAATGGCTTGTTGCAGCCAGGCTGGGCGAATGCCGGCCGGACACCCCACAGACGAACGGGCATCCAGAGGAACAACCGGCACGCAAAGAAGGCGGCTGGGGAGGCGGGTGGCTAAGCATGGATTGCGAGGGATCCCACAACAGGTTGAGGTCGGTGGTGAGAGAGGTCTTCCCCTTGCTGTCCATGGTGAACAGCGCCCGGCCGACCCACTCCTGCTGCTCACGACAGAGAGCTGTCCGCCAGTTTTCAGAAGATCGGATACCTTCTGATTGGCCAATATTTCCGGACGGCTTCGTTTTAAGAAGATCGGCTATGTTCGTTTTAAGAAACACGGGGGTCTGATTGGCTGCCTGACTCCTCGGCCTACAAAGGATGACACGCAAATTTGTGAAGTGTCCCTCATTTAGCTCCAAAGTCAGATGATTATTGAGTGAAAGCAGAGTTTTATTTATAGAACATTACCGGTAGAAAGGTGAGGAACCCGTTTGTATTGATTAGTGTCCGTTAGCTGTCGATAAAGAGCAGATATTGAGTGTGACACACAGTCAGAGCCTCCAACTGCTTCACTCAACTCAACACCGCGCTCTTATTGTGAAAAACAGACACCATGATTGGCTGTGAGCTCATTACGTGGTCGCTTTCAAAGGTGGAATCCTTCAAAGTAAAAGTCTGATCCGACATGAATTTTTTTAAGTCTTCGAACGAGACGCGCAACTTTAACAACAAACAAACAAACAATGTTAGGGAGAAGATACTTTATATAACTGTGACTGCAGTCTGCCAGAATATATAAATAAAGCCTTGTGTGTAACAAAGGAAAGAAATCCAGAGTCCATATTATTGTAGTGAGATGTGGAGTTGCTTTATGTGCAGTGTGTTATTGTGTGTGTGTGTGTGTGTGTGTGTGTGTGTGTGTGTGTGTGTGTGTGTGTGTGTGTGTGTGTGTAATAGTCCAGTGAGGGTCACATACAGTAATAATCTTTCCAATAATAAAGGTTTTAGGATGTTAGACATAATAAACAATGTCTGTGTGATTGTAAAGAATAAAAGGTGCATTATTCTGATGGTTAACTTTAAATTTCGTTGTACCTGTGACAATGACAATAAAGATCTATTCTATTCTAATCAATCATATTTATTGATAAACTAAGAATGAATATACAACCTGAGCATAAACACACACTGTCCTCCTTTCTGTAATAGTAGAGAGCAGGTAGAGCTGAGTACAGTGGTTAGTTCCTCTTGAGGAGATAATATATACGTCCACCTGCAGGTAAACACCTGAGAGCCAGTTCAGACCTGTGTGTGTGTGTGTGTGTGTGTGTGTGTGTGTGTGTGTGTGTGTCTGTCTGTCTGTGTGTGTGTGTGTGTGTGTGTGTGT